CCTTGAAGCTGACAGCTTTCTCTTGGTCGTTCTCCAGCTTCTTCCTGCATGGACACAGCTCAGAGATCTCGCCGTCAAGGACCGCGACTTTACTCACCGAACCCGGTATGGCCCTTCAGTTTCATCCAGTCTCCACTTCGGAGCAGCAGAAACCCCTGGCCAAAGGCCGCGTTCTGCGGTGAGGAGCGTTCTCCATTCCGTAAGAGCGGTTACCTGACGGTACTCTTCACGCCTATCCTCTTGTTAGCCGACGCGTCTGTCAAACCCTGAGCATCAGAGCGAACTAACAGATCAAGGATCGTTTTCCGCAGCCTCTTCTTCTCCGTCGCGACAACCGTTTTCCTCCAATCGTGAATCCTGGCTATAGACCTTTGCACGGTCCGCTCACCCAGGTGGACACTGAGACGGCTGGACGCAAGACGTGAGCGACGCGCAGCTGGTCGTTTCACGAACACTGTTGGGTCGATGGCGGTTTCTTGCGAGTCGCGGGGGTTCAAGACAGCTTCGGCAAGCTGTAGGACATCGAGGATCTGCGGAGAGCAGAATCAGTATCACGCGGATTGACGATCTCGCAGAAGATAGATTTGAACTTACTTCTTGCTTCTGCTGGGCTGCGACCACCGTATCTAACGCGATACTTAGGCCGAAATGTGTCAGCTTCTCCAAGAGTCGGACAGAAGCAGCAGGAATTTCATGAGCTTGGGACAAAGCAGTTACGAAGGACCGGTATGCGTCCAAGAAGTATTGTGTTGTGGTTTGAGATTTGAAGATCTGGCGGAAAGTCGTACTGGAAGAGTGCACACTGATCAGTTGCTCCAAGAGTGCTTCAGCGAAGGTTGTGGCCTCGTCGGCGTCTAGGCAGAGCTGTGAGATTCGGAAGGAAACAGCGCAAACATACAAAAATAACTTACCGTTGTAACAATGGTCATGCACGTTCATACCAGTAATCACGTCCAACTGAGACTGGAGCACTCCAAACAACGGCGGCACGATATGTGCGCATACTACGACGTTCTTTTCCTGCGCATCCTCTTGCGGTCCAAGCAAGATGTCAAACGCCGCCACCTTAGCCTCCTCACACCATCCATACGGCAACACCGTCTTCAAGATACTCCATCCACTAGCCAACTCGAACTTGCGCGTGAACGACGTGGAAGCCTTCAAGCTGACAGCGATCATCTTGAGGATCTGAGTCGCGATGACTGCAGTGGGTCGTTCTCCCAGCAAGAGAAGGTAGATACGCGCTGCGGGGAGGGCGCCGATGAATTTCTGGTAGGCGGCGGGTGTCTGAATGATGGAGGTGAACATTGTGAGGACTAGTTCGGCTTTGAGCTGAGGATGTCGCTGGTCGATGCGAGAAATGACAGAGCGAGGTGAGGCAGCTCCAGAGGTCTCTGCGAAGACAACTCAGGTCAATACAAGTCCAACAAAGAACGCGAAACGCCCTCACCTTCATGCAAATTGGCTGCAAGGAACGCTACAATCGGCTTGACTGCGTCCTCTGCTGAGAAATTGGCCTCCGCAACCGCCCTCAACGCCTCAATCAACCACGGCACAGACTCGAGCGGGTACCAATCCGTCTGCAACGCAAACAGCACCTTGCGCACCAAGCTCATCTTCCTCAGACACGTCTTCAAGTTGAACCGCTTATGCTTGCTCGTGACCAACAGCGTCGTGAAATGCTCCAAATGGACACGCTGGATGTCGGTCTGTGTATGGGCCCACAGCTGGAAGTCCAGTGCGATCGCGCGGTACGCGGCGGTGTTGACGACGGTGGATTGGCTAGAAGGGGTCGTGGAGGGTTGGATATATGCTCACCGCTGGTAATGTGACGAAAGGCAGGTAGGGGACTTACTCGGGGGTACGGAAGTTCAGGCCGAGGAATTCAAATAGAATCTCAAAACCGGTCATATTGATCAAGTGGCTCTTGTTACGGAGTATAGCTGCTAGGATCTCATACCCACCTAGCATGACGCGTCAGACTAGTCAGTCAAGATGAGAGCAGAGATGCAACTTACGAAGCCTCTCCATATCCTCCGAATTCTGCCAGCTATTCCGTAATCCACCCGTGAGTACGCTCAACGTCCTCGACAATTCGTGCGCCGTCTGTCATTTCTTTCAGTAACATCTTCGCATAAAACAGACACCGAAACCAAACTAACCTTCGCATACTGCACAAGCCCCAGCGCGACCGCAGCACCACCCAACTTCCACATCGACAAGTCCAACGGCGTGCTCCTCACATCATACACATCCCCCTCCACGAACGCCTCCCACTTCGTCTGCAGCGTCGTCGCACCCAATCCCATTCCCACATTGCTCAATCCTAACCCCAAGCCCGCGCCCACGCCCAAACTCGATGCAGAGTTCAACCCCACTCCCACTCCCACCCCCGCCGAAGCTCCTCCATATGCACCAGCACCCTCTCCCGCAACCCCACCCGCACCCCCAACATCCTCACTCCTCCTCCCAACATTCCCCGCAGGCGACAACGCAAAAATCACGCTCGCCTCGGGGATACTCATCCCATGCTGAATGACGTTCATCAGATCCGCTATAGCAGGACCCTTCTGCGAGGGCGCGATGCTGGCTAGGAGGACGGAGAGCGAGGTGGAGGCGCTGTAGGTCATGAACTTGATCACGTCTGTTGCTTGGAAGCGGGCGACGTAGCGCGGGCCGAGGTGTTGGATGAGGCGGGGCATCTCGTCCGCTGCGTGTCAGTATGTGTGAGTGTGAATTTGACTTGGAACGGAACCGAGGTGAGGACGTACTGAGCGGGGTGGAGAGGAGGTATGCGGACGCGATACACCACTTCATGTTGGCAGAGTCGTCGATATCGCCGATGGTGAAGGTCCCGGGTTTGGCGTGCGACTCAGCTTTAGGGTAGTGCCAGTTCACAGAGTCGACCAGGACGCCGTCAAGGAACAAACCTACCAAGGAAGGGGTGACACATGAGTCAACTCAATTCCAGTGTATACGAACGTTTCAAAATCAACCACTCACGAATGGTAGGATTGGATGCTCGGTGGGGATGGTGTACGAGCACGAGATGGGACCAACGTTGCTTCGGGAGGGTGGTGGTGAACACCATGGGATCCTTATTGCCCGTGCTGAGACACTCCAACGCGCCATCCGCGCGCAGCCGCAACGAGAATATCAAGCTCTCCCCAAGGCGGAACGTGAATATCGAATGGGGCCTGAACTCCGGCAGAGCCTCCACCCACAACCACACCTACAACCACAACCCTCATCCGTCAGTCTGCATTCTCCCAAACCAACACGAATCTCGGGACGCACCATGAACGTAAACCCACTCGACGGCAAACTCTTCGACGGCTCACACGGGACCACCAACGCCGAGGGGCCCTCCAACGAAAAGTGCTCCGGCCACCGCGTTTTCATCCCCGCCCTCAACACCTCCAATACGTCACCGTTCAGCGACTCGTCTGCCCGCAACGCCTTTTGGAACATCAGCCTGGCCTCCTCTGAGCTCGAGCCTAGCTCTAGTAGGCGTTTGAGCAGCTTCAGGATCACTTGGCGTTCGGGCTTGGGTATCACGGTGAGTGCGAGGGACGGCGTGGGGGACGGCGCCGGGGTCTCGTTGTTGGGGTCGCCGTCGCTTTCGTCGCGCTTCTTGGATCGCGTGGATTGGTATACGTCGAATAGGGGACCGACCAAGTGCAAGTTATTGAGTACAGCGAAGTTCCTGTGGTTATGCGCCGAGAGCCGTTCCAGCGTGCGATATATATAATACCGCCTGAACGACGTCTTGTCTCCATCCTGCGCCAACGACGCAATAGAACCGTACAAAACGCGTATAGCACCAATGTGCTGGATGGTAGACAGTCTGGGTGCGAGGTCCTGCAGGCGGCGGTCGATGCTCTCGTAGGTCGTCTCGTCCGTGATTTCGAGGAGGCTCGAGAGCGAGAAGTCGTGCAACGACAGCGCGAGGATGAACCCGAGGGTTTCGTCCACAGTCTTCACGTCCGAGAGGAGGGGCAACGCTGCTTGAGCTAACGACTCGTACCCGACCGAAAGCTGCGCCCGTTCCAGTTAGTCGCGTGCCGCCTTCGTCATGACAGAACGAAGCACGACGCACCTCGAAGAACCGGACGTTCTCTGGATGTTTGTGCAGCGACTCTGAGAGGATCGCGAAGATGAGGCGAGTCGCTTCCAACACGTCCAACACAATCTGGTCTCCAGCTTCCGCGACAGGCCATGAGTGTGCGGGCTGGATAGTCGAGAGCACGCTCATGAGGACGAGGAAGCCGTCCATGGCGCGGAACATCTCCTTTGTGACCGCGTCTTCGAGCATGATCTTGTGTATCTCCAGCAACACCTAACCAGCCACACGCATCGAGCTAAGCAAGCAAACAGGCATAACAGCATCCACACAAACACACCTCAGTCCTTGCACTTAACCCCTCCGCAAGCTTCAACCTCTCCACCGACCTCCTCATCACCTCCACCAACACGTCCCTCGCGAAATCCTCCGGACTCGGCTCATCCTCCTCCAACCCGCTTCCACCCCTCCCAAACCCGACGCTCGTCGCAGACTGCGGACGCCCACTAGGAGATGTAGCCGAGTTGGGAGACGCAGCGAACCGCGCGCTGAGGGGGGAGAGTAGGGTGCGAAACATGGGCCGTCATCAACAGCATACAGTACTGATGCACGACGACAGAAGGGAAGGGTGAGAGGCGAGGGGGTGGTGGGTTGTTTCGACAGCTTGGATAGCAGCCAGCGACGTGTGCTGGATAGTTAGACGCCCATAGACGCTAAATAGCAAGCACGGCACTTGCCGTCCTGCGAAGGTCAATCGCGCCGCGCGCAGGAACTTGGACCAGACAAGAGAAAATGCGTGTACAGCAAATGTTTGAGGGGCCATGAAAACAGCTTTGTCGGTAGAGCCGGTTTCCAAGCTTTATTTAAGCTTCAAGCTCGCATTTCATAAGTAACGCAAATCGGAAAAAAAAGCTTGTCTCAAGATTGTGCCTCGAAACTCGGATACGGGGAATCGAACCCCGAGCTGCCGCGAAAATTCGCATGAAGAAGTCCCAAATGAGAGGCGGCAATGTTAGCCATTACACCATATCCGATCCTGACGCATTGCTCCGCAACTTCCTTGACACTCACGTTCTCAGTCCTTCATCGAAGTGACTGTCTGAGGCTTCTCTTCCGCCTGGTCCACAATCTTTCCTACTACTATTACGACGAGTCGCATACAAAGATGCAAAAGTCGCTCCCAAGCCAATTCCATCCTATTCTACCCTCACCATTGTCCTCGAACACACGCATGCGACCTCGGACCAACTCCAATTCAGACCACTTCACTCCACCTCATTGGATCGACCGACCGATCCGCCACGCGGAAGTGATCGAGCTCGAGCAAGATCGATTGAAAAACGATTCAGGTTCTTGTAGCGGCGGGGGAATTGGCAATAAGAATGGAGGCAGATGAGGAGGATGACATTAAAATCGAGTTTAGGCTTGACGCGTCGTCTCTGACACGACGTCCGATGCTCGAGGCTCCGGAAGCTCGTGAAATCGTGCTTTTGCCAATGTTGTTGCGGTAGCGAGGTCATGGGGATCAGTGAGTGTGTGTGTTCGTCGGACATTCCCACCAATTTGGCTCACGCTGCTGATTATGCATACACCAGATCTTGCGACCACCACAGATCTATCGGAGGAGAGAGATGACAGCAGCGTCGGGTCAACGGTTGTGGCGTACATTGCGCAATGCCAGGCAAACAAAGATCTGGGGACGTGGGGGCAAGTGGCTCTGGCTCGGATGAGTCAAAACCTTCCTTCGGAGTCCTTTGTACTAGTGCGCCATATGCATAATGTAATGATCCGGACATGGTACGTCTGCATTCTTCATGCACTAAAAGGTCGCAGCTGACTTCGTTCGCAGTCGACGCGTCATGGAGGGTGACCAGATGCGCTGGTAGGTGGAAGGTTCCGTGGGTATGGGATCTCGGCTGAGAACAGCCGCCGCGCCATATGCGTACCGCGTCGTTCGATGGTGGAAAATGCGGGGTACACCATATGCTCTGGCGTTTTCAAGGTTTCTTCCAGTCATGCATCGCGCGTAGGCTCATTCGTCCGCAAAAACATTGGACGAAGGGGGTCTCGCTGTCAAGGCGACGCGTAGCAAGGACGAGGAGCATACGATTTGGAGGGACAATGAGGAGGGAGCGGGGGCTGGATCCGGAGGGAAAGTGCGCCGGGCGATCGGATTGTCGCGATTGACGTCAGTTTGGGTGGGAGAATGGCCAGGAAAGGGAAGAATTCATGGTCGTGTGCGGGGGAGACGCCGGAGGACTCGCGTGGACGAGGAAGTTTAGACGAGCCGGTGTCTTTGCCTGCGACGTGCTCGCTCCTCCTCCTCCACCCCCTCCCTCCCCATTCATTCTTTTTCGAACCCCGATGCAGCCTCTCGCCCCTCATAAACCGCCCTCCCTCTCTCTCCTCCCCCCCGTCGACTTTTGCCGTTCGTCTCCACCCACGAACCCACCCGCAACCCCCGCAAAGTCAACGACCGCGTCCGGCTCCCCACCATGTCCACCGTAGCCCCCTACAGACTCGCCCGCCTCGCCTCCCTCTTCCTCTCCTTCTCCTTCGGCGTCATCGGCTTCGGCGTCGGTGTCAACGCCCTCGTCAAATCCAACACCGCCAAGGACCAGCTCCGACAAAACGCCAACGGCGCGACCGTGAACATCGACACCGCCGACGTGTTCAAATCCGGCGTCGTCGTCACCGTCGCGTCCGGCCTCCTCGCCCTCGCGTCCCTCTTCGCCCTCCCCTCCGCGTTGCTCTCCTCCGGACGCGGACGCTACTCGTCGTCGCGGCTGCTCACCGTCCAGAGCGCCCTCCTCGGCTTCCTCACCGTGTTTCTCTTCGCGGCCTTGACACCCTTCACCGACTTCGTCGCCAACCGCCAGGCCAAGATCTCCGCCTTCCTGGGCGCGGTCCCCGTACCAGACTCCATCATCCAACAAGTCGAAGCCGGCCTCGGCGCTACGCCTGTGTACAAGAACATCGACTACCGTACGTCGTGTGACTGTATGCTCTGCGCTTCGCATAAACTAACCTGCTTTCGTGTGCCCTCAGTTAAGAACACGGCGATCCTCCCATGGTTCGCCTTCCTCTTCGGGCTCACCTCCACCATCCTCACCTTCGTCGCTGCGCGCCGTACCGCCGCCGCCGCCACCACCTCTGGTTTCGGGCGCAATATCGGCGGCACAAACGCGCCTTCGTACGCGGCTGATGACGAGAAGAAGGCCAATGTGGAGACGGTGCAGCAAGTATAGACTTCGCATGGGGCGAGCTAGCACCGATGGATTTCGGGATTTCGGGGGTAGTGGACTGTGGAGCTGGGGCGGGTTCTAGCTTGAAGCTTGACGAAAAGCGAGCGCGTGATTATTCCTCTTCTTATGATGTTACGACTCTTTCCATTCTCCATTCTCCATCTTTCCATTTCTGCATTCTACGTTCCTCCGATGACTCTGATACCACCACCACCTTCCTCGCAACTTGCACCTTTTGTAGCCCCACAACCACAACTTGATACACCATTCATCACGGTATAATTCCCTCATCCTCGTTACCATTTAACACTTTCTATAATGTAGTCATAGCCTGAACTTCCCGGATTTTTCCTTTACTCCTTCCATCACTTTCAACTTCACCTTGACCTCTTCGACGCTTCGCCGTGTGGTGTTTCTTCTTACTTCTAGCGTATATGCGCGCTGTTGTTGGGCGAGAAGCCACAGATGATCTTGACGATGACGATGCGGTATTGATGAGTTTCTTTGATCTATGTATCGCGGAGGGTGGTCAGGTGCTGAAGCCATAGAAGACCGATTGGCTCATCGAAGTTCGAACTAGCGTTTTGCTCCGTGTTTTCCGAGTCTGCTTCTCCGTCCGTGATCGAGTTTCGCGATCGGAGGTATGGTATGAGCTGTTCTATGACGCGTCGAGTTGCAATTGAGAATCACGCTCTTCGACGCGTCTTCAGATCATGTACATAGCTGTTGTACTGCAAGTTGAGCATGTACACTTCAAGTTCCTCGTCAGTCCAGTGCTTCTGAGTGTTGCGATGGTTCCAACTTCCAACCGGAGACCAGGCCCGGACAGCCGGAAGCACCATAGACGATCCGGCAACCTCCGGCTTTCCCCACCACCGCCACGATCAGACTGACAGAGAGCACGTTCTCGCAATTATGCCAGACTTGTCGACACCTTCACATCGACATCGGACGAACTGTAACGGGATCTGTTACTGCAGCTCGACGTCTGCGTCGTTGTCAACGTCGTTCAACTTTCAAGCACCTGTTCGTTGCAAGTTCGTTGTTTCATTGGTACGTTCGAATGTTTGTTTGAAAGAGAAGACGTGGAAGGTTGGCTGACTTCCTGACTTCCTCGAACAGAAGACCGTCTGCCTGTGGATGCTCCAGGCACCCCATCCCGACCACTCGCGACAGAATCCCTACTTTTGAGTCCCTAGCACAATCATTCAAAAGGGCAGCACACGCATGATCGCCGTCACCTGGCCACAAGTGCACGCCGATCGCGACGTGCGAACGAAAGGACGTTCGCCGCTTCCCGTCCCTGGCTGTATCGCCGCCACTTTAGATTATTGTTATGCCCATCACAGATGGTGGAAATGATGGCAGATAGATGGGTTGGCTTTGAGCGACTAAAGGAGCAAGAAACCCCGACTTTGCAGGACTTTGCATGGGCAGTGATATAGAGACCTCGGGCAAATCGTCAACACAGCATTCATCCCCTCTCTCCGTCCCCGTCTCCTCGTCTCTCTGTCCTCAAGCTTGCAAAGGATCCTTCTCGCCCGCAGAGCGAGAGCGAGCGGTTTCCCTCAGGCTGCACCACCATGCCCCCTTCCACCACTGCCCTCTTCCAAGCGAACCAACTCCACGCGCGAGGCCCGAACTTCCCCATAGACAAAGCCTACCTCATCGGCGACTGGATGGCCGCCACCTTCTGGGGTGAGTACGACGCTCACATCTCACAGAGGATGAATTCCCTTTGCAATGCTGTGTGCTGACCTGGCGGTCGCTTGGTGTAGGTGCATTCACCGTCTTGTTCATCACATGCATGTTGACGTCGCTTAGTACTGCAAGACGGCGGTGGTTTTCGTTGTTGACTGTTTTTGTTATGTGAGTGCCGAGTCGTCCACACCATCCACAATCCCTACGGAGTCGGAAGTGCTGATATTCTTTGCATGCTGCGTTCAGGTACTGCCTGGCCACCGCACACATCGGCCTAGCCCTCACCCGGCTCATCGAAGCCTTCATCATCCACGCGCACGACCCGAGCTCGGGCGCAGACACAGGCGCGATCCTCTACCTCGCAAACATTGCCATCCCGATCAACAGGTCGAAGGACATGATCTATATCACCACAGTGCGTTCTCGGCGTAATCTTTTGTATGCAGACGCCATGCTGATGGTGTGTTGGATGGTGGTAGATCTGGATGGGAGACTCGATACTGGTTTGGCGGTGTTATATGGTGTGGAATAAGGATTGGAGGGTGATTGCGTTGCCGTGTCTTATGGTGGTTGCAACTGCTGGTGAGTACTCAACTTGACTATTCACTTGTGGGCATTGCTGATGTTTAGAGCGCAGTGTCTGGATATGGTGCCGTCGGAGAATACTTCAACCCGCATCTGTCTCCTCAGTTCGCTACCAACTGGGCCAGCGGGATGCTCGCTGTGTCTATGGTGACGAATATCATCCTCACTATGCTTACTTCCGGGCGGATCTGGTGAGCACCCCCACACCCACGCCTTACCTTCACCTCAAAATCTCAATATCAATGTCATAGGATGCTCACCCGCAGCGTCGACTTCGACCTGGCCCCAGGGGCAGCCTACCGCACGCGATACCGCGTCGTGATCCTCACCGTGCTCGAAGCAGGGCTGATCGTCGCCATCGCCAAGTTCCTCGAGTTCCTCTTCTTCGAGCTCGCGCCCGTGAATGGCTTGGATGGGTTCAACGCGTTGTATATCATGATGGAGTGTATGCCGCAGATCATGGTGCGTACACCTCTCTTTTAATCTCAAGAGTCTTATGCCTG